ACCCCGTTACCCGGCACTAGGGATTCGAACTGCCGAACCTCTGATCAAAAAGCGCAGCATCTTAGCCACTGAGCCACCCTATACATCAGTGGGTTTCAATTTTTTTTAGAACCTATTATGTAGGTGTGGTCTGTTTTATGGGAGTGGCTTGGCAGACATGTGATCGGGTGGGAGTGGCTTGGCAGACATGTGACCGGGTGTGAGTGGCCACCTTGGAAAATGTGGTGAAACTCACTTAACAACGCTCTTGCTTAGCAACCAAAATTTTGGGCTCAATTGTGATCATCAGTTCTCTTTCTCTTTTTTTTCTTCATTCCTTCCTTCCTTTCTTTTTTTCCCTTCTTTCTTTCTTATGTCTCTCTCTCTCTCTCTTTCTTTCTTTCTTTCGCTGTTGGACAAACCCATGTGACTGCGCTCCCTTCTCTTTCACAGCTGCCTCATTTCCAGTGGAGGGGGGGATCCATGCAGAGGAAGATGTAAGGTTTGGCAAAACGCTTAAGCCAAAAATGAATCAAAATGAAGATTCAAACGAAGGTTTGAAAAATAGAGAAAACAGACTTTATTCTTTGATCAAAGTTAAAAGTTCTGGGTAAGAAGTTCCAAACCCATGCACGAGAGACATGGGAGGAAAGTTCCACAAACAATTCTGTGTCCTTTCTTATAGCCAAAAGTCTTTGTTCTTTGTATTCTAATTATTCTAAATTACTCTAGTCATATAATCTAACATTATTGTAAAACTTCATCATATATCCTAACTTAGATTTACATCCTTCCTGCAGTGTTTATGTTCTGTTATCTTTTCCCTTCTCTATTTGCTTAATTGCCCATTTGTCCCCTTATTAGCAGCAGAAAAGGTGTGAGGATTTCTCTGGTATTTCAGATAGAGCATAGTTCCGTGCTGATTCCTGGAGCAGGCAGGGTGGCATATGAAGAATTCAGATCTTATCACAGGAAGAATGCAACTGATTGCAGGTATATATTTTTACAGATGCTTAGAAGGAAAATACTTTCACAGCAGTATAACATATCCATATACTATAACAGAACAGATATCTAGAATAGCAAGTTTCTACTTTAATGTGATAATACTTAGTTGTATTATGGCTAACCTTTTCCTTGCCGAAAGTATGCGCGCACGCGGACACCAACACTCCCGCATCCCAGCACCCATAATGCAATGTGCGGCATGAATCTTTCCCCATGCGCATGCGCACACCTACTACACCTGCTTCTTCCCCCTCCCCTCTTTTGGTCCAATCCTTGCCGGCACAAATGGCCTTCTTTTACAGAGACGGCAGCAGCTCCCCCTCCTAGCAACTTCACATTCCAGGCAGCGTCCGTCCAGCCAGCCATGCCAGCCGGCAGGACCGCGGTGGAGCGAGCCGCCCAGACTGCTGCTGGCATGCCGCCTTTACAGAAATACTCTGCTCTGCCCACGTAGCCCGCCCCTCTCGGGGACCGCAAGCTGGCTTGCCCTTCAATGAAAAAAGCAGCGCCCCAAGAAACGGTGCGGTGGCTTGCAATCTCAGAGCAGCTTGAGCCCAGCTCGACCGTGTCCTCACCACACGCACAGTACCACACCATGCACCCTACTTTGCAAATTCAGCCCCGAAAATCCCTTAAATTTGCCATGCTGGACGCTGCCCAGAGTGAGGCTGGCAAGAGGAGGAAGAGCCCACCGGTTGCGTCTGCCTCCCTCCCTATTCCCCGTGCACCCGAGCAACTCTTCCGTCTGCAGCTATTGCTGCTGCTGCTGCTGATATTCTGGAGCTTCGCTTCCTTCCGCCCCCCTTCCACAAACCACTTCAGACTCACTTCAAATTAGGCAGAGGGAGAGGGATGGTAAAGAAGGGGTGGCGGCCGTGCGCACAAGGATTCCTAATCCTTCCTTTTCTCTGTCCGGCATTCTTCCTGCGCAGCTCTGCTGCCCCAGAAGGGAAACTGCAGCGGCAGGGGGAAAGGCAAGAGTGACTGGCTGGCTCGAGCGCTCAAGGGAGCAAGGCAGCATTTGCTGCCTGGGCGGCCAGCTGCCCCTCCCGTTGCTCCTTCCCCTAGCCATGTTGGACTTTGAAGAGTTCGAGTGGCAGCTGAATGAAAACAAACAGCGTAACAAAGTGTGGTTGGGGGGCAAGCAAGTCCAACGTAGTTAGAGGAAGGAGCAGCGGGATGGAAGCAGTGAAGGAACGATGGTTGTTGTCCCCCCTCCCCGCTTTCCAGAAAACACCCCCCGCTTCTTGCTCTTTCCTGGACCTGCGTCGCCAGACGGCCGGCTCAACTTCAGGCAGCTTCCCATTCCATTACAGGAGGGGTAGCCAGATGGGGGGGGGGGGGCTCTCTCAGTCACTGCCGGGTGAGGATGACTCTCTAAAAAGCCGGCTTGCCTCTTTTTCCCACCCCCGAGTGGGAATCGCCGAGAAAGGGCCCCGGAAAGTGGTGGCGCTTGGCTGCCGGCGCGTTTGCAAACTGCCTGAAGTTGCCGATGCAGGTCCAGAGAAGAGCAAGAGGGGGGGGGGGCTTTTTCTGGAAAGTTTTGCACCCTGTGCCCTATTACTGACGAGGTCAAGTAACTGCATTCATACGTGAGCCCACACACGCGTACACATCCACGTCGTCCTTTAAGGCAGAGGAAATGGCAAGAAAAACTGATCCTGGCCCGTCTTAATGACCCAAGTCACTTGAAAGAAGCCAGTGGAGATCCCGCCTGCTTCCATTTTTCAAGCCAAAGGCACTTAGGAGACACATGCACACCCAGGAAAGGAAAAGGTTGGGTGGAAAAAGGCGTGAAGGAGCTATCTCCGTTGTCATCTCCCCTTTCCAGAAAACAATCGGGAACACCGCACCCCCACCCCTCCTGAATACACGCTCTCCCCCCACCCCCCACGCATGCACCTGCGACCTAGTTCTAGCTAGGGAGAACGCAGACAACCTGAGGCGAGTCAGGACTTCAAAATGCTAACAGTTTAATGCTAACAGGTTGCCAAACGTAGCACTTCGCAATACACACGTCTCAGCTAACTGGCAACAGCTGAGCCCTGTTTGACAGCTCTTAATATATATGCCGGCTGTCAAACAGGTAACCAATCAGGAGCGAGGACAACGACCCCTAGTCAACAGACCAGAGGGAAAACTATAGAACGTAGCACTCCTTCACACCTAGAATGCGCATGCGTAATTTCCCAAGTAGGCAGGGCGGCGCCAGATCCACACCTCAGTGTGCTTTCGACAGCTGTAGTAGGTAGTTGGCTCATCAGAGCTTCTGGATTAACCAGAGATTGTGCCATCTTGTTTTCCGACGACGCCTTCGACACCTTGGAATTCGGCAATGCTGGAATGTCACTGGGAAGAGCAGGTAAGGCCATGGTTGGATTTCCTATGGTAGCGTTGAACCTCTCGGGGGAAGAAGAGCGAGATTTTAAATTCTGTTCGCTAGTCTTTGCTGGGGTCATATGCAAGCTTAGCTGGTGCAGTTGCTGCGCCACCATATTTGGGGTAACTTGCCTAGACCGTAAATGATTTATATGGCATTTCCAAACCCTTCCATCCTCTATCTCTACTATGTAAGAGCACGGCCCTATGATTTGTTTAACTATGCCCGGCAACCATAGGGGATGGCCAGTATAATTTCTGGCATAGACTGGTGCTTCCAAAGTGAACCCCCTAAGCTGGCTATGAGAGGCCAAGGGCCTGTCAGGGACATACTCTGGGTGGAGACAGTCCAAAGTGGTTCTTATTTGTCTACCCATTAACAACTCAGCCGAGCTTTTGTTGATCGTAGTGCATGGGGTGGCATGCTGCCACAATAAGTATTTATCAATGTCCTGCTGCCAGTTTATAGGGCCAAACCTCGCTAAAGCCTCCTTGGTTGTGCGGATCGCTCGTTCTGCCAGGCCATTCGCCGCGGGGTTGAAAGGGGCCATTAGGGAGGCTGTAAATTAAGGTCCATTATCAGACACAATCAAGTCAGGCAACCCATGGGTAGCAAACAACTGCCTTAATACTCAGATAATGGCCAGGGCTGTGACCGTAGGCATTAAACTTACTTTGGCCCACTTTGAAAATGCATCGACAATTAAAAGGAATGTCTGGCCTTTAAAGGGGCCAGTGAGGTCCATATGTACCAGGGACCAAGGAACCCTTGGCTGTTCCCAGTTTTGGAACGGGGCCCTGGGACACGCCGGCTGGGACTCTTGGCAAAGGAGAGCAACCAGAAACCCACTGTGCGATGTCCTGTTCCATGCCAGGCCACCAGGCATAGCTTCAGCCCAGGGATTTAATCCTGACTATGCCTGGATGGCCCTCGTGTAACATGGTTAGTACAGACTCTCAAAGGGAGGCCGGAATGGCCCCCCTGCTGCCCCATAGGAGGCACCCTTGTTGAAATGAAAGTTCATTTTGACAAAGTGCAAATGGGCGTAATTTGGTGCTGAGCGACCCGTCTGCCATCCTCTCGTTGTCCACCCCAAAACCTTAAATAGCAGTTTGTCCCCGGCAGTATGTTTAGCTACATCAGTCGCGGTAATTGGCAGTTGCATGTCATCAATCAGCAAAACTGTGAAGGCTGGTGCTGGGTCCTCAACTGCGATGGGCAACGGATATCTGCTCAAATCATCGGCATGGCAAATATGTTTTCCTGGCTTGTAATGTAATGTATAGTTATATGCTGCCAGGAAAACAGTCCATCTGGTGAAACGTGGAGACAGAATTTGAGGAGTTTGTCTGTCCCCAGCAATGATGCCTAATAACGGTTTGTGGTCAGTCACTAAATGGAAGTGGCGGCCGTAAAGATAGTCGTGAAAACGTTTCACTCCTGGCACTATAGCTAATGCTTCGCAATCGAGTTGGCTATAATTCCTTTCTGGTGAGGAGAGAGTGCGAGAGAAAAATGCAACTGGAGCTTCTAGTCCTGATGGCAGTCTGTGGCTCAGGACTGTACAAATCCCATAAGGGGAAGCATCACATGCCAAACTAAAGGTAGAGACTCATCATATTGCAGGAGGACGCTGTTAGAAGTGAGATTTTTTACAGCTTGAAAATCCGCGGCTTTCTGCTTTCCCCACGCCCATTTTGCTGATCGATCTAGTCAATGGTGTAGGGGCTCTACCAGCGGTGCCCTATGTAGCAGGAAAATGTTATAAAAATGTAAGAGCCCTACAAAAGCTTGTAGTTCAGCTTTGGTGGACGGCATCAGAGCTTGTTGTATAGTTTGCACTTTGTCAAGGGTAGGATGGATTCCCTTTGCGTCTACTAAAAATCCCAGAAATTCGACCTGAGGCACCGCGATCTGGCATTTGGTTGTCTTTAACTTCAAGCCGACGTCTCTTAACCAGCAAAGTATGGTATGGAGGTGGGACAGTAGGCCGGCTAGGGACCTTGCTGATACCAGGACGTTGTCGAAATAAGGGACGAAAAAGTCCAGGAGCCAGACTGACTCCAAACTGGAGTCGGTGGCACTTGAACGCACTCTTATGCGTGACAATAGTCTGCGCCTCAGCAGTTGCTTCAGCTACAGGCAACTGCTGATACGCCTGTGTTAGGTGCAATTTAGCAAAAATGGTGCCCTGCCCCAGAGAATGCAGCAAATGCTGCACCATGGGGACAGGGTATGCGCACTGTTGCAACGCCCTGTTCAAAGTGCACTTAAAATCAGTGCATATACACACAGACCCATCACTCTTAATTGGGGTCACAATAGGCGTTTCCCAACGGGCGTTATCAATAGGTTCTAGTATCCCTTGAGCCAGTAACTTATCTATTTCTGTGTCAACCTTAGGTTTTAATGTGAAAGGCATTCTGTGTGGCTTAAGATGCCATGGAGGAACCTGGGAATCTAGATTAAACGAAATTGGGTTGCCAGTATACTTACCTAACCCTTCCCCCAAAACTTCTGGAAACTCTTTAGTCAACATATCCAGATATGGATTACATTGGATCTGGTCAATTCCAGTCACCCTCAACTCCAGGGCTTCAAACCACTCCAACCCTAATAGGCTTGGTCATGGTCCTTTTAACTATAATTAAAGATAACTTTCTGCAAAATTGTTTAAACTGCACCCTACAAAAATATTTGCCTAAAACCGGAATGGGATTCCCCTGGAAATCCCTTAGGTTTAACAGGCATGGTCTCAACCTTGTCTGGACCAAATTAGGCATGAGGTTTTTAGCAGTCTTCCAAGAAACTATGGAGACAGCAGATCCTGTGTCCACTTCCATAGGGCATTGCCTCTCCAATTTGACTGTTATAAAAAAAATTCACCTCAGACTATAGGTAATCTGGTAAATTTCAGCCTCCTCCCTCATTGACAGAGAAACAGGATTCTCTTTTCCTGAGAGTAGACTCCTTAGGGAATTTGGAGGGCTTTCTGTAATATTGGCAAGGGTTGGGTAAGGTGCCCTCTAAAGCACTAGGGCAAGGAGCAGCTGCCCTGCAGACCTTGGCTAAATGGCCGTGTTTCCCACAACAGAGGCAGATTGTGTTTTTAAAACAGCATTTCGCTTTATGGTGTTTACCTCCGCACCCAGGCAATTATTGGTGGCAATTGAGGGCTTACCCTGCCGACCTCTGGCCTGCTCTGTCTTCAACCAGTGGACCTCATCATCCTCAGTAACCGACTCTTCAGGGTTGACATCTTCATAATGCACATCAAGCGGTTTTGTGCATTCTTGCCACGTGAATATGAAAATAAATTTCCAATCTTCTCCTCGTTGTCCTTTTAAACTCCTACATTACAAAACTTTTATCACCATAAATACTTAAATTCTTAGAGATTTATTCCTCTGCTTTCATTTGTGTCTGTGGAGCTTTGTCAAGCCAGGAGGCAGATCCAGCTGAGTAGAGTTTTTAACTTATCTTTTCTTCCACTGAAAACACACCATTTAAAGTTATCTCTCCTCCTGTTTATCATTAGACAAGGGGAATAACAGACTATTCTTTAATTGCTATGTTTTTCAAGCAAGACTTTTCTACCTTCATTCAGAGCTCCTTGTAATGAAAACTTTCTTTTAAAATATAAGGTATTCCTTTCATTCCCAGGCTTCCCCCCTTCTCCCCACCTAACTTCTCTTATATGACAAAAAGGGGTATAAAACTCAAGTCTGACAGAAAAGGGCTGACCTCCGTGTGCCACAGGGCTACCAGACAACTTTGTCAAATCTCCCACCTCACCTCCCCCTTTTATAGTTCCACTTCACTGACAAATGACTAAAGAGAAGTGTTTAAGGGTTTAGGATTCCAGAGTGAGCTAATATAGGATGTCTTTGGTTATTGGGGATGAGGGGGGGAGGAAAAGAAAGCAGCCTCCTAATCTCCCTCCCTCATCTGCTGCGGGTTTTCCCGATGACCTAGTAATCATTGGGAGAACAACTGTATTCCCCAGGGGTTTTAAAGAGGAAGGCATGGGGGGGGGGTGTGACTCACTATTTTGCTTTATCTCCTTCTGTCTCCTCTTTACATCGATCTGTTTAAATCACCTTCGGTATTGGGAGGAGGAACAACACAGAAAGTATTGCCATTTCAGTGACACTTTGTGGCAAGGACACGCGTTAGTTGCGCCCTTTCCTGCCTTCTATGTGCAAAGAGGCAAGCCTCAAAACGACTCTGAAAACGGCAAGCGGTGAACAGCAGCCACTTCCCTCTTCCAACTGCACCCCCCACTCTAGGAAAGTGGCTATTCTTGATTGCCTTTCAAAATGCTGGAGGGGCCAGCAGAGCCTTCCAGTCAAGTCTTCCCAATGCTTCAGTAGAAAGGAAAGCAACTTCAGAGCTACCGCTGGCATCGGGCCGGCAAAGGCTTCCCACTGACCTCTCCCACCCTCCGATTTCCTGATAGATCGAATTCAGCAACATCTCCACCCCCCACGTCTCCCTGCCTCCCCCTCGCACGTCACCTCCGCTCTGTTCTCCTGCAAACCTCATGCTTTTTTTTGCCTTTAGGAATAAGAATATTTAAAAGGCTTTTTAAAAATTTGGTTAAAAAAAAAAGATGATGCAGGTTCCACAAGAGTGAATCTCGATGCACGGCTACGTTTTTTATTCCTCCAAATAATAGTCGCAAGTCAGCCTTCTAACTTCAGTCCACGCTCTGCAATTACCTTTCTCCCCCCCCCCCGTCCCCAAATCTGCAGAAACGGGGGGGTGGGTGGAAATCGGTCATTATCATTAGCAATCTCTCCCACGCCTGGCCTCATCTTCGGAGGTAAGGGGCGGGGAAGAGCAGATCTCCTGGGGATACAAATATTCCCCAAGTGGCCAGCACCCGCTTCCCCAACTAGAAAACGGGAGAGGAGTAAAATAACTATACGCTTTGGAAACGTGGATCTCCAACACCAGGTCCATGCCTGGAGGTTTCAGGGCTTCCCTCCAGGCCACCTGCACAGCCAGCAGCCGCATCCACGGGCTCCGTTGGAAAAGGCGGGCAGTGGGAAAGAGACGGCGGGGGAGCATGTATGCTCGCCCGCCCATTTCCCAAACCACGTTCTCCAGCAGCCTCTGGCAAAGTGTCTTCCCCGCTCCACTCGGGCCGAAAGCAAATAAAGCAAATAAAATATAAAATGCTGGTTTACCTTTCTCTGCTGCTTCTCCCAGGCTGGATCCAAGAAGAGATCCCTGTCCCAGTCTTCCTCCTGCCCACTTGGGCTTCAGGCACCAAAGACGCCGGGCGAGATTGCGCAGGTGCCCACTGCCCTGCCTGGCTCCCGCACGGAGGGTTAGAGAGAAGCGGTGGCCGGAATGAGGTCCAGTGCGGTCCCCGGCCCTTCCCCAGAGGATCCCGGACACGGAGGAACCCTCCTTTGACCCTGTTGTTTCTGAGGGGTGCAGAGCCCTGGGGGAGCCTGGCGGGGCGGGCGAGTCCTCCTGTGGGGAGGAGGAAGCTGGAACTGGTTCTAAATGGCACAGTAGATTTGTGGAACATCTATAGAATCGGTTAGAACCGGCAGGAACCCACTCCTGCTATACATGCATAAGTTAAAACAATAAAATAACAAAATAGAGATAAGCAATGAGGAACTAACTGACATTAGAAAAATACCATTTTAGTCCCCTTAAACAGTGGCTGACCAATCCATACTGATCAGGTTATCACCATTGACCTTTTATTACATTCAAATGGGGAAAAAACTATGGGTTTTTAAAAGAAGCTTCTGTGGAAATATCTGCTAGCAAAAGCTGTACTTAAACTCAGTCCATTGTCTGCACTTAGCAAGAATTAGGTGCAGTAATATAGGTAGCATAGTAGTCAATATAATTAGGTTATTGCTTTGATGGCTACATTTGAACAGTTGCAGTGGTGGTGTAGGCCTGTGGTGCTCCTCAGTGTTGTTCCCCTTGGCTCTAATAAGGAGAAAGCGGAAATGTTTTTCTAGCTCTTATTTATAGCTATTATCTAAGAGTTAACCTTCAGGGAGGAAGACATTCAAGTTCAAATCTGGTACTCTACCTGCATAATACGATGCAGCTAGGATACAGTGATAAAAATTGCACTTTTTCTTTGCACTAATGTTTTTATCACTATGGCATTTTTAAGTTAATAGAATTAAATATTCAACTCCCATGCTTCACTGCCAAGAATATCTTGGAAATGCAATATGGAAGATATGTTCTTTTACATTAATGGTAGCAAAGTGCAAAATGGTTTGGAAGCAGAATGTTTTAATGATTATGATTGAGGCAAAGGAAGAAGGCAAGGTATCTCTTCTAAAAGTGCCATTGTGCACGACAACATAGTCTAATAGTCATATATGAGAAACTCTGATTCTTGACATATCGTATAGAATCACATATTCCTTCTGGAATTTCTTCCAATTGCTGATTGTGGGCCATCTCAAATAGTAAATGCTTACATATAGGGGAAGGAGGAATACATGAACCTCCTTGATTATTCATTTACACCAACATAAACTTTCCTCAGATTTACACCTAAATCACCACTGGCCACTGCATGGCATTGTCATGATGCTACCATCCAAGTATGTCTTATTACTATTAAATTCAGAAGAGTGGTAAAAATAAGCAATCAAGGTGCGTATTTTGTTCTTTTCCTACTTTTGAATTAAACTGGATGAGGAAACCACAGATTGATAATCTAGCTTAATCCTTCACTTGTTCCAGTTGTGTTTTGGATATTTCTGTACCATATTAAAAGTATATGCCAATTACTCCAAAGCATCTCCAAAGGAAGAAACCATAAAACTATATTTTCCTGGTTGTATGTCCTCTTTCTCCAATCTCAGGAAAATCTCATGCAACATATTTGAAAGCAATCTTCTAAACCAGGGGTGTCAAACTTGCATCATCATGGCATTGTCATGTGACTTAGTGACTTATCATGAGTTTTTTTCCCTTCACTAAACTGGGCATGGGTGTGTCCAGCATGTGACGCATCTGGCCCACAAGCTTGACAGCCCTGTTCTAAACCTATAATGCGGAGTACCAGCCCTTAGCATTGTTTCAAAACAGATATATCCTGCCAGAGATATCATAATGAAGTACACTGAAGCTAATGAGAACTCAGAAAATGAGACATGTATTTTCAAATTAAAATCTGATTTAATTAATACAGGATACCAGTGGGCTAAGTATTTTGATGTCAATTGCTACTGAATAAGTATTTTTAATTTAGAGACATTATGTTATGAGATAATAACAATAGCACTTAGACTTATATATCGCTTCACAGTGCTTTACAGCCCTAAGTGGTTTATAGAGTCAGCATATTGCCCGAAACAATCTGCCTCCTCGTTTTACCAGCTTCAGAAGGATGGAAGGCTGAGACAACCTTGAACTGCCAAACTGCTGGCAATCAGAAGCAGAGATTTAGCCTGCATTGTAACCACTGTGCCACCATGGCTTATTTGGAATATAAAGACATTTGAGCATAGACGTTTCCTGGAATGAGGCAACTTTCACAGCATATATTGGAAACTTTTACTTGCACTTGGCTTAACTTCCTTTTATTCAACATTAATCTTCCCACACTGATACAATTGTTTTCTCCATGTAAGGGCAGGACTACTTCCCTAGCACCAAGGGTGATTTACAACTACTCTTTAATTAGAGAAGGAACCTAAAGGCTTTGTTTGCCACAGTGAAACAGATTTCTGGTATAGATTTGTCTATGTATTGCATAGATTATGATCATATTTTTAAAATTATTTATGGTATTCATTCCAGACTTTCATCTGCAGTTTCAGGGTTGTAAACAAAGAAAATTATAAAGGTTCAGCAGTTGTTTTAATCTGTTATAAATGGCTTTTCTTTCAGTCATTTGGCTTTCTAATACAAGGAATGACTGCTTATTTTGAGCTGGTGTGTTGTATGTCACTGGTCACCCACTCACCTGACCATTTCTGCCATGGGCGCCAATTGCACTTCAGCATGCTACTGGAACATATCAAATGACAATAAATTGGATACACTGCCAGAAGCAAAATACATGGCCGGGTGTCATGTGACTGTAACAAGAACATGCACTAGAACTAAAACCATCAGCAATTCAATTATATTTCTTTTCTCTGAACTGCATTCTACTCAAAAGGCTTATGTTCA